CTCGTGGGCTACAAATGGGTATTCACAAGAAAACGCAATGAGAAAAATGAGATAGCAAGATACAAAGCACGACTCGTTGCATAAGGTTTTTCACAAAGACCTGGAATTGATTATGAGGAGACATATTCTCTCGTAATGGATCCAATTACGTTTCGTTACTTAATAAGTTTAGTGGTTTCAGAAAAAGCCTGACATGTGACTTATGGATGTCATCATTGTGTATCTATATAAAGAATTAGTTACTGACATATACATGAAGGTCCCAGAAGGACATAAGTTGCCTGAAACAACTAACAAACCACGATGTATGCTCTCGATCAAATTAAGACGATGATTGTATGAGCTGAAACAATCTGGACGAATGTGGTATAATCGTCTCAGTGAATATTTGATCAAAGAAGGATATATCAACAATGTCATTTGCTCTTGTGTGTTCATTAAGAAATTCAATTTTGGATTTGCTATAGTGGCAGTATATGTTGATGATACGAACCTAGTTGAAACTTCTGAAGAGCTTAATAAAACTGCTGAATATCTGAAAAGCGAATTTGAAATAAAAGACCCCGGGAAAACAAAATATTTTCTCGACCTACAGATCGAGCATTGTGCTAATGGAATATTGGTCCGCCAATCAGCTTACATTGAAAAAATCCTGAAGCGATTTGGCATGGACAAGACTTATCCACTCAGCATGCTAATAGTCGTTCGTTCTTTGGACATTAAGAAAGATCCATTCCGTCCAGAAAAATATGATGAAATGGTCCTTGGTCCAGAAGTACCATATATGAGTGCAATAGGTGTTTTATTGTACTTAGCGCAATGTACTAGACCAGATATAACTTTTTCAGTTAACTTGTTAGCAAGGTATAACTTTACTCCAACAATGCGTCATTGGAAAGGGGTTAAAGATGTTTTGCGATACCTTCGTGGGACAACATACATGGGTCTTTTCTACTTAGGAAAATCCACAAATGACCTGATCCTTGTTGGATATGCAGATGCTGGTTTCTTCTCTAATTCGCATAAAGCCCGCTCACAAACTAGATATGTGTTCACTAATGGAGATACAGCAATCTCATGACGCTCAACAAAGCAAACATTAGTTGCTACATCTTCAAATCACTTAGAAATACTTGCTTTACATGAAGCAAGTTGTGAATGTTCCTGGTTAAGATCAATGATCCATCATATTCGGAATTCATGTGGTCTACCTTCGAAGACAGACAATCCAACTGTCATCCATGAAGATAATGCAGTCTGTGTTGTCCAAATGAAAGAATGATTCATTAAAGGCGATGATACTAAACACATATTGCCAAAGTTTTTCAGTGCACGTGAGCTACAAAAGGCTAAAGTTATTGAAGTCAGACAAATTCGTTCCAATGAAAATCTAGCAGATTTGTTCACCAATTCTCTACCAAAGTGCACGTTTCAGAAGTTAGTGAAGAGTATCAGATTACGTTGATTTACCAATTAGCTAAATTTGAAGAATGCAGAATCAGGAGGAGATAAATATCAGGGGAAGCATCTATGATACATGATTGTTGTACTTTTTTCCTTCGACTAGGATTTTTCCCATAGGGTTTTTCCTATCAAGGTTTTAACGAGGCAATATAAGCATACTTAACAGTATATCAACCATCCATGTAAAGTTGTACTCTTTTTCCTTCGCTATGGTTTTTCCCACAGGGTTTTCCCAAGAAAGGTTTTAATGAGGCAACTGATGTTGATATATGGGCATCCAAGGGGGAGTATTGTAAAATTGATATATTGATGGATGAATGAATGCCCACTCAAAAAGAGTATGATTTAGGAATAGTGTTTGATACTTACTAAATATTATCATTATATTTTTAAGGGTAAAGTACAAAAAACTACATCAACTATTAGTGTCATGACACTTTCATACCTCATCTTTAGAATTTGGTCCAATATTATACCTTCAGTTACTTGGCCGTTTACTTTTCAGTTAAATGCTGACGTGGCTTGATTCGGGGTCCACTTTCTATTAAAAAATCATTAAAATATTATTAAAAACTAAAAAAAAATTATTTGAAAACCTAACAACCCCCCCTGCGGAAGAACAAGAAGGAAAAGGAAGAGGAGGAGGAGGAAGAAGAAGAAGAAGAGGAAAAAAAGGAGGAAGGAAAAAAAAAATTTCCCCCCTGTCGGCGCGGAAGAAGAAGAAAGGAGAAGGAGAAGGAGGAAGAAGAAGAAGAAGAAGAGGAAAAAAAGGAGGAAGGAAATTTCTGCGGAAGAAGGAGAAGGAGAAGGAGAAGGAGGAAGAAGAAGAAGAAGAAGAAGAAGAGGAAAAAAAGGAGGAAGGAATTTTTTTTTTTTTTTTTTTTGTTGAAAACCATCAACTCCCCTGCGAAAGAAGAAGAGGAAATTTCTGCGGAATAAGGAGAAGGAGAAGGAGAAGGAGGAAGAAGAAGAAGAAGAAGAAGAAGAGGAAAAAAAGGAGGAAGGAATTTTTTTTTGTTAAAAACCATCAACTCTCCTGCGAAAGAAGAAGAGGAAATTTCTGCGGAAGAAGAAGAAAAAAAAAAAATTTGAAAACCCATCAAACCCCAAATCCACCACTCTCATCCATTCTCCACCTTCTCTGGGCTTTTTTTTTTTGGGTTGCAGGAGGGAGAAGAGTGTGGGTGTGGGGGAAATTGAGTGTAGGTGTGGGGGGAAGACAAATTGGATTTTTTTTTTTTGTTTGTTTGTTTGTTGGGATTTGCAGGTGGGGGAAGAAGATGAAGATGGGTAGAGGAGAGAGGAGGAAGGAGGGGGGAGGGGAGGGACGAAATGAGGGTCTTTTTTTATTTTTTATTTTTACATTTTATTATTATTTTAATATTTAAAAAATATTAAATAATTGTTTTTTAGTTTTTAATAATTTTTTAATAGAAAGTAGGTCCCGAATCAAGTCACGTCAGCACTTAACAGAAAAAATAACAGAAAAATTGACGGAGGTATGACATTGTCACAAATTCGTAAGATGAGGTATGACATTGTCAATTTTAAAAGATGAGGTATGAAACTGTCGTGATCCTAATAGTTGAGGTAGTTTTTTGTACTTTACCCTATTTTTAATAGTTGTAGTTACGAGAGTCGCTCTATAAATAGAGCACTCCGTCTGTTATCAAATGCACTGCGAAAGAAAGCAAGAGAAATAATATGAGTATCCCTCCCTCTCTTTATCTATCATCCTTTTTGTGTTATAGCTAATAAAGTCATAGTGTGATATTTTGCACCTGCTTTACTTCTGTCCTTAGAAAGGTTATCTCTCTAAATTTTATCTATTTATAACAGAATAAAAATTGTGGAAATTTAGTTGCTTTTTAAAACCTCTTTTAATGACGATTTGGCTTCAAAATTTTCTTTTTACAGATTTATTTGTTATGAAAATTCGTTTTCATCCTTTAACGTTTGACGTTCTAACTATATAGTTTTTTTTATGGCCTTTTAGCCAAAATGGTTACTAAGATTGACATAACTCTTTATTTTGATCATCGACAGTGAAAATCAATAGAAGTGATCTTTGAGTTTGTCCATTATAAATAATTTTGATCATTCCTCGAAAATTCTATCAATATCCTAGTTAAGTAGAGAGTTGGTTTGCCAAAAATACCTTTAAAAAGGTGGTCACGTGGTTCCTCATGTGACAATTTAACGAGGATATTGATAGATTTTTAATGGAATTACTAAAACGATGTACGATAGACAAACTCATGAACCACTTATCGATTTTCATTGTCAGAAATTAAAGTAAAAAGTTGTGCTAATCTCAAGATCATTTTAGCTAAATTTTATTATATAAAGGCTAACAGTGACTCTGAGAGCATAATTAAAGTGTTACAGTTGTGAAATGTAGATGAGGTATTTGATCAAATTCAAATTCCCTCTCACAGAGCAAATGAAGTTCTTGTTCGCTGCATCTAGAAATTAACAATCTATTTAATGAATTTGATAGATAAACCATAAAATAAAAAGGTGCCATATCCATGGCCACTGTGCTTCCATCATTCATCTATTTAATTAATTACTTGCTCAAATGAGGGAGCATATACTACATTTATCATTTGTTTATATCATTTTTCTAATTGAGGTAGAATCTGTTAACACATGTAGGTCATATCTTTATTAGAGAGATAGTACAAATATGTGAAAAGAGTAGTATTTTACTATTTTTGTGTGTACACACACACACTTAATGAAGATGTTGTTGCTTAAAGAATAAATATAATTAAGAGATTTGATTATTAGGTAAAGCACTTCCATTCAATACCTAATATTCTTTGTATATCCTTAATTACAACTCCCTGTTCATACCTAATATTCATGGTTCTTGTAAATTCAGAGACTAGTATTTTCTCTCTATTTTCCTTTCTTTTTCTGACTATATATTAGTGTTGATTTATTATGACTGCAAGGCTAGATTAATATAAGTTCAAATTTCGTGAATAACAAGTTAAAAAGTATTTTATTTTTTCATCCTTTAAAAAAAAAACCTTTTTAAAAAAGGGAAATAACGGAATAGGAATAGGGCCAAATAGGAGAGGGCAAAAACAAGAAAAATCCAGAAGCCGAAGGAGTAAACCTTGATCTAAAACATTGCCTCTTTTATGTGTCTTCGATGTTTTTCTTTTGGCCAATTTTCTTCCTAATTGTGCCTTTGGCATTTTTTTTGTCAATTCTTCCATACCTACAACCCTTAACTCGTTAAAAAACTATGAAATCTAGATACTGTAGTCTAGAGCTAATTCAATGCTAGAAGAGATCCCAAGTACGGATATTCATTATCCCGGTTATTAAGCATAAAATTGTATATGAAATATGAAATCTTCAACTCATGGAACTAATTAATGTAACAACTCAGACATGTATGTATATATGTATATATGTGTGTGTGTGTGTGTGTGTGTGTGTGTGTGTGTGTGTGTGTATAAGAAGATACAATTTACAAGGACACAACAAAGACAAGATCTGTACTCATGTCGGCCTTGGAGTGGTACTAATTAATTCCTAATCAAAATCATACTCAATACATACAAAGCCTTAATTTTTTTACAAGATTTTTTTTGGACCGGATTATTTACAAGGGTCACAACAAAAGAAAAATGAACTTTTTTTTGGTTTTACAAAAACAGAATGCTGTTAATCATACGGAGATTAAGTTATGGGTAATACTACGATTTATTGCTTTCAAAGCCCTTAAGACCATCTGGGAATTAGGGTTTCAGTGGTGCTGCGGTTCGGACTCAATTTCATTAGCCAGTTCTTTTGTGAGCATGTCAGCCCGATCATCATGTCCACCAGCAAACGTATAAACCCTAAAAGCAAACTGAAAAGCCCTCCACAGCATTTTAACACAAATCTTTGCTTGCTTCTGATCAGTTTTTGTTCCAGTACTCTTCTCTGCAGCCTTTGCTTCTCTCCTTTCCTGCATCATATAACAATTCAAAGTCAAACTCTCTTTTCCAAATCATTGTTATATGATTGTTTAAAGTAATTAACTCTGAGTAGCTAACCTTTAGTGCCATCTCCATGCAGCTTGAGGAAACATCCACCATGGCTTCTTTGATCCGGATGAGGATATTGAAGTCGAAATGGATATTCTGGCTCTGAAACTTCTTGGCTTCGTCGTCTTTAGTTCGTTCCATGGCGTCTATTTCTCCTTTGATCTGTGTATTACATTTTTTTATTAGTTTATGGAAAATGGAAAGAGACAATTAAGTAATTAAGATTGTATAAAATGAACATTTATGCACCTTATTGAAGTAGCGTTCTGCCTTGTCAAGGAGCTGACCCAATGGAGCCACTAGTTTCCAATTCTGCAGTTCAGTGAGCATTGTATTTAATTTTTTGTGCAGTGCTGCTGCCATCCTTATTGTTTCCAACTTCTTTGTTGGGAACCCTTCAATCCTTGATAGCACCTACAATTCGCAAAACGGCATGTCATGAAACACGATCATGAAGTGATCATATAACTACTATGGAAATGAACAAAACTAAAGCGGACAATGAGTGGTTATTGACCTGTGACTCATCAGTCAAGTGTTCAAGAACAGATTCGACTTTCTTGTGAAACTGCATCAGTTCATTCATGTCTTTTGTTTTGAAAGAACTAAGGGTAGTTCTCATTTCCGTGATAGGCTTTGTATACTTCTTAACATCTTCTTCAATTTGTTGAAAGTATGCTGATCTGAGACACAAAAAGTAGAAACTTCTATGATTTTCGCTTTATTTGGCTTTGAGTACTTAGATTACTTATCCGTACAAGAAATACCTCTTTGTCATCTCTGCTAGAGCATCAGCCATTCCTTGTTTTCCGCCAGAGCTGCTTCCAACTCCGCCCTTTCTCCCATTGGATGCTTTTCCATCCAAGCTAGATCCTTCCACCTTTCCCTTGAGAAGGCGATAGAGACTCCCCATTTGGGATGATCTCTTCAGTTTGGTGTCTTTCTTGGGGCGCAAGGATCTTCCTGCACCGAGTGCAGGAGGTGGGGGTGGAGCAGCTCCATTTGATGGGCCTTTTAACATGGGTGGTGGGGGTGGAGGACCTCCATTTGATGGTCCTGGTGGAGGTGGTGGGGGTGGAGGGCCGCCAATTGACGATCCTGGTGGAGGAGGTGGTGGTGGAGCTCCATTTGACGATCCTGGTGGAGGTGGGGATGGAGCCACTATTGTTGACCCTGGTATCATTGGTGTTGGTGGTGGGGTTGGTGGAGTTACTGACACTGATCCTGGTGCCATTGGTGGAGGTGGTGGGGGTGGTGGCCCCCCAACTGCTGCTACATTTTGTGGTGTTAATGTTGGTGGCGGCGGAGGAGGTGCTGTAACTTGTGGCTGCAAGGTGGGCATTGATGGTGGTGGCGGCAGTGTTGCAACATTTAGCTTCAATGTGGGTAATGATGGTGGTGGAGGGGGTGTTGGTATTCTTGTTGCTGCTTGTGTATTAGGCAGTGAAAGTTGTTGCGCTGGTGGAGGTGGAGGTGGAGGCGGAGGCGCTGATTTTTGTTGTGGTAGTGTTGGCGGCGAGGAAGGCAATGACAATTCTGTGGTGTCTGCTTCCAATGTCTCAGGGGTTGTGGTTGGAGTTTCAACATCATCACTTGTGTTGTCTATTCCCTTTCCACTAGAGTTCTCATTCAAACTCAGATTTGGGGCTACTACTTCCGCATCTGTTGCTGCAATTTTCTTTTGAGGGTTGCTGTCTAATTCTGTCCCAATTGATGGTTCCTCAACCAAATTTTCAATCTTTTCCATGCCATCGCCGGTGCCATGAGCTCCTTGTTTCGACAAGTGAAGAGACAAGTTTTTAACATCAATTAGATTCAGCTTCCCAACTGCTTGCACTCTCAAAGTCCAAAGCAATGGTGATTTGGAACCAATGTTGGCCTTCTTTCGTGATCTAGAAGAACCATCAATCTCGGGAAGGACAGAAGATGGAGTGACCGGAGAAGGGCAGGTGGAGCCTGAGGTGCAGCTTTCCGAATCGCTCAAGAGCTTCCCGAATGAGCTATTCCGAGGGCTGTAATCTTCTCCTTTCTGGTCATCCTGATCCATCATATCGAACTTGTCCCATGCCATCTTCATCAAGCAATCAAGTGTTCCCAACACCATCTCAACTACAAAATCGTATAGAGTTGCAATCAGCCTTAACTTAAAATTTCACAAAAGGAAGAAACTGTTAGATTGTTGCTTCCTTTGCCAAATGGAGAGGCCTCATCTAGTCCTAGAGAAAAATTTGAACCTACCGAGTTGCTCAGAATTGACATTCTCCTTGAGTGATGGGAATTCATATCTCGGTTTGTCCAACCTGTCATAACTTGTCATCCAAGACTCTCCAATAGATTTCAATGCCTTGCAGAAGGAGGCCAGGACCTGAATGCAGATGTTTAATTTGTACATAAGCTTAATGGTCTCGAGTATAATTACATATGCGTTTTAAGCTATTTCTTATGGATCTTAAATTCTTAATTACCTTTTCTATAGATGCTCCCTTTATTTCTGATAACTGTTTATGTAGCACAATTTCAGGGTAAAGTTTCTGTAGATCCCTCATCAACCTCATTACCATCTGCAAGCAGAAAATAATAGGAACATTAAACAAATTGTCGTTTAATCCAGAAAATTAAACAAGATTTCAACAGAAAAACATCTTCTTTTAGGGAAGTGTACGATGACATTTTTAGAGTTACTGTAAGAGCTCTTTGGAAAAAGGAAAAAAAGGGACACATACCTCATTTGTGGCAGCAGAAGCATCACAAGCTGGTAGGTCGATGATGTCCCTGAAGAAGATGATCTTCTTCCGGAGCTCAGTCATCCGAACCCGGTTGCCTGAATCTTCGGAAGACCTATCTTTTGGCATGCCTCTCCTAGAAGCATTCTTCTGTTTCACAGGAAGACCCTTGGGCTCCCTAGAGTCTTTCATTGCCTGCAAGAGCAACTCTTTTCATGTTAACCATTTTCTAGTCTAGACCTTATTGCTAATCCATACCTAATCAAAGATTATTTTCTTTTATGAACCTTAATCAAAGATTTATGGCTACATGCAACAAATTTAATCTGGACAAGAAACAAGGCTGCCATGTTTCCTTATAGAATATTAGCATGCCTAGATGTAGATGGTCAGTTTTTGTTAGAAGCTAGATTTAAACACGATGTGTTACATATATATAACACATGCTTAAGGAAATTAAACATGGAAGCACAAAAAGTACCTTAATTCCAGAAGGCTTGTGACGAAACAATGGACCGAAACAGCTTCCGATAGCCATGGCTCGAACCTACGCTGAGACTTGCGACGAAACAAAGGTGATTGTGGTGATGATGATTGAATGACGAAGAAAACAACGACGACAAAGATGATGACGATGACAATATTGTTAAATGATCATACAACTGGGTTTTCAACCCTTACTGGTCAGCACACCTTTAAAGCTTCATGTGAAAAAGAAAACAACTCCAAAATATAAAATTGTAATGCGTTCAACAAGATGGAAACACAATTTCTTCGAAAAAGAAAATGAGATAAAAACACAATTACGTGCGAGGCACTTAATTAATCCTTGGGTTAATTAGTATGTACAAGAAACTGGAAAAACCATTTCTTTCTTTCAGCCTTGGAACTTTCTCTGAAAAGAGAAGCCAAGCAAAATCAGAATGGCAAAGTCCCTTTTATTAAGGAAGATCATCTAGTAGGCTGTAGCCGTCTCAGACCTAAACTTTCCTTTCTTTTTTTTTCTATTTTATTTTTAATTAGGTTTTTTAATTAATTAATTAATTACCTGTTTAGTTATCTAAATCGTGCATTCCTTGATTGCAGGAACTGGTGCTAGATTTTGATGGCTGGCAGCTATTACAGAACGATACAGCTTCTCACTTGAGTAAGATGAGGTGGTGGTTGTATTATCGTTGTACCAGAAAAATCTGAAATTTCTAAATTTTATTTTCTGTATCAATTATCCATTTAAACAAAATTGATGCCATAATTAACAAAATGCATCCTTATCAAAAGTTTTGTTATCGGAGTGATAATTACGTGCTTATGTTCTAACATATACACGTGTCTGTTTATTAATACAATATATATATATATATATTTTAGTTAAACTTTTTCAACAAAGTTTATAATAAAATTTTGTACGAAATATCCTACATCGACTAGGTCAAAATAAAAATACCTATACGTCAAATATATAGTAGCTAAGGTCTTGATTACTCCAAAAAACGTGGTGTTATTAGTCAATGTTCATATCTCATTTGTTTTCCATTTTTGTTTTGACTTGACAGCAAGTACCCCAATTGGCGATTAGAAAGTTGGAACCTGGAACATTTCTATCCTCTTCTTGTCACCAAATTTGGGCAGTGAAGCCTTCATATATTATGTCGTTTGCCTTGGTCAAACAGAGAGTTCTGAGTCCGTGGTAGCCTTTGCAAAGGACGATGCATGATATTGTCATTTCACCATAAGAGGGACAATTGTTCGTATACTATGTGGATATAAACACTTCAACCCATTTGGTGAAAATTCCAAGCGCGACCGTGGCCGGCATGGACAAGGGAGGTTCTAATGTCTAATCAGGAATATATCATCTTTGAGTCACATGATAAGGGAGACACTCACGTGTAGATACTTGAATTTAAGTGGTATTAGCATTTAGTAAGTGGAGAAGAATCACTTTTTAATTATTCCAAATTCCCAAACTCAGCATCCCATGAATAAATAAATAAGCAAAAAGTAGAGGCATCATGCCAAAGGTATATGTCTATAAAAATATATAGCAGGGGATATTTTACAAACAAATCATAAGTATGAACAAATATGTATTGCAGTTTGAAGAACTCATGGACTCAACTGCTTTGTATCCATTTACAGATTTAGAGTTCTCTTGGTAGGTTGTAGTTTACTCTTGGGAGAGCCCTTTGCTGTTTTGCCTTCTAATGAAGCTCTTCTGGGTGCTACTGGAGAAAAGCCAGCCGCTGCAGTTTTCTCAGCAATTCGCTTTTGACGTTCTATCCGCAGTTCCTCCATCTTTTGCCGAATTTCTTCTTCCTGTATACAAGCACATTCTCATCAGATTCCATAAAAAGAAAATCAAAAGTACGACAATGAGAGGTATCCAAATAAATACTACATAATTAGCAACTGCACACTCATTATTTACCTTCTCGAATTTGCTCTTTTGTATTGTAGGCCCCCTTGTAGGAAATACTTTTTTGCTTTTGATATCAGGTCTGTTGTTAACTAGGGATCTCTTTACGATGTTAGACTTTGCTTCTTTACCGCGTTCTTTTGGTCCAGGAACTTTATTGCTCTTCACATTGGTTGCCATACCGTTCGAAGCAGGCTTGTTATCCACACCATCAGTTGTCTCAACACCAGAATGTTTTCTATTTGCCTCGGTAAATGAAATATCTGCTCCGTAGTCTATAGTCCAAGAAATTTCAGCGGACTCCAAGTTGGAATCCCTTTCAAGAATCATGCTAAGGTCATCTGGCTCAGATGTTCGAGTCTGTGGAGTATCCATAACTCCATTTTCCTTACGCGCGGCTAAACTCAGATTGTTGTCCATGCTTATTTCTGTTTTCCATGGTGATTCATACATATCATCAACTGCTGACCGAGACTGTATAAAGAAAGAATCATCTCCGCATATATTGCTTTTTCTCTCCGACGTGAAGATGCAATCACCATCAAAAACTGTTTGCTTCTTTGGTACTTTCTGGTCTTCTGTACTTTTTGAATGATTCACGTCAAACCAATCTTCTCCCCTTAGAGTCCTGGTTACAGTAGACTCAGCAGCAGAAGCAGAAAAGGCAGACCTAATTTCAGTTTCTGATTTTGCCGATCTCTGCAAAAGTAATATGTCCTCATCTGCACAATCTTTTCTCTCCATAACTGAACTGAAATTTTCTTCATTCCGAAAATCTTCCAACTTAACCTCATAGTCATTTGTTCCATTCCTCTCCATTGCAACCAAAGGATCAGTTGCAACTGAAACTGTTAGTTTCTTTGGAGTTCTCTCGAGATTGAGCCCCAAATTAGGCCTCTCTGCTAATGAATTACCATCTTCAGACTTTGCTATAAAATGTGCATCTTGAACATCAATGGGGACTACAGCACGAACTGTCAAATCCTCATTACTTGATCCATTAAACATAGAGCGACTCTTCTCCACATCTCTTTCTTGCAAGTGTGACTCATGGGATACCTCCAATACTTCTGCTTTCTCAGTCACCTCATCTGAAAAAGATTCATCAGAAACTCCTCCTTTATTACCATCCCTCCTCTTGGGGGTGATGTAGTTGATGTTTTGAATGACCACTTTCCGCGAGGATTTCTTCTTAAACTTCTTTCTGGATGAATTCTCCATATCAGAATGCTTTCTCTCTTGATATGTCTCTGAATCTGAATTAGTCTCAGAAGTGGAGTCACTGGACTCAGTTTGGTTGCCTTCCCCTGAGTAGTCAGGTCGTGTTTTATTCTTCTTCCTTCTTCTTGAAGATGGCTTCTGAATCCTATGATAATTCGGTTCCCGACCATTGCTTGCTTCATCCATGTTGGGAGGCCATTGCATGTTCCTTGGATAATGAGGAGGAAAAGACTGCATAGTAGGGAAAGGATATCCATGATATGGAGGCAACTGGTTTGTATGGCCTAGTGAACCATAAAAGTACTGAGAATTCAGATGTGGAAATGGCATTGGCGCTTGAACTTTTTCACTACTTAGGATACCGCTATTGGGAAGATTTAACATAACATTTTGATTAGTGACCTCTGCTTCATTTGTAAGTGTAATTTCGGACGCTCCCCTGAATTGCAGATCTGATGAAGAACAGGCCACTACTGCTGCTACTTCTTTTATCCATAAACCATCTGTGTGCTTTTGCTTGTATAATTCCTTGAAGTTAATGCATGCTTCCCTACAAATAACCAACACTTGATCTTAAGAAACTCCAGCAGGCTCAACATTACAGCAAAATAAAATGAACTATATCTAATTTCTCCAAAATGACGTGAAAAGTAGACCATGAAAATGCGATTAGAGTAAACAACAGAGACTAATTTGCAAAACAAAAGAATCCGAGGTCCATCTGGTGGCTGATATGATATCACCTAAGTGTAGATTTCAAAAAAAGAGACTAATGAAACAAAACATAATTCAAATAATCAACTTTAATGGTTACAAGTTTATACCTTAAGCGTGAAGCACCAAATGCATCCGAAAAAGAAATGAGATCATCCATATTGTAGATTTCAAAACCAGCAACAAGGCCACGGGCATAAGCCATGGCTTGCTGTTTCTGAAGCAATGCCACTCGAGTTTGAAGAAGGTGTTGAAGGAAAACCCTGTCATATTACAATAAAACTGAATGAATCAATGACAAAAATACTGAATGACACTGCAAGTGAGACTAATTCATTCATAATTGTAGCTATCCAAAAGAAATAGTTACTTGGAGTTTTCGTTTTTTACAACAGCCCCTGCTGCTTCAAGCTCACCTCTTTTCTGAAAAGAAAAATATAGTAGCTTAAGTAATGAGATCATTCTTTGAGAATACCTCACTTGTTATGTAATCTATATATAAAATACCTCCAAAGAACCAGCTGATTTCCTTGTACTCTGATTAGCAGATACAACTCCTGATAAACCAAGATTAATTAGGGATCAAATTGCAAAGTTCAAGTCCTCATTCGATCCAAATCGAAGAACATTCTTTCCATAATGTAAGAACATTATCTGATATATCGAATGCCTAACCCTAGCCTCCAAACCCAATTATCAAATAGAGAAAAACAACGGTTTTTAATGCCGGAAAACGAGCAAGATGATCAATGCCCAGAGTTGGATTTGCCCTAAGATCACTAGAACAGAAACAATACATTCAACACAAAGAACAGAAATTACCCAATACAGCACCAGAAAGGTTGATCTTAAATCATAAAACCCATAAATTAAAAATGAAAAATTCAAAGATTTTGATGAGATACCTTCCTCCAGTTGAACTGAACTCTCAATCTGCAAAATCTCCTTTTCAATACTGACAAACCTCTCCAGAACAGCAGGGGTGCTAACAAACCTCACAAATCTGCCCCACAGTACATAATTAAAGAGAACCAAAATAAATTTTTTATCCAAATTAGAGATTAGAAATTGTATCAGTGAGAAATGACTCAAATTTGGGAACTACCGTACCTTTGAAATGTGGATTTGGTGAACCAGGGTGCCATTTGGGTAGGCGGGCGAAGAGTAATGGAATACCCACCTCTGGAAATCTCATCTTTTACAGATTTGAGGTGAGAAACAAAGGGTTGGAACAACCCAGATGCTAGTTTCTCAGATTTGGCTCCATAGAAGATCACCAAGTCACATCTGCACTCATTTAATTTAGACACAAAATTAGAAAGAAATTCAAGATTAACACTAAGCAGAGTGAAATACAAATTAGTCATAGTGGGCGAGAAAGTGGAAAGAGTGCAAAAGGAAGTGATTTCTGTACATTATTTTTCTCTCCATGCACAGTCTGTTTATTGGATTGAATAAATCAAAAGAGAATTGGGCTACAAAAATAAACAGGATCATACTGTAGGAGAAA